CGATGTTTTCGTTGCACTGTGATGACGTCACGTACGCGCTTTTGTCGAGCGCGCTTTTGTCTACCGCGGTTTTGTGGTGGAACCTTCAAGAGGAAGCATCAGCCACTGAATTCTTAAGGGGGCTTGGCTATTCCAAGGGGGTAGCCCCAGATTTCCAAGCCGCAATCCCTCGGGGGGCCCTTCCAAAGGATTGGGGACAGGTCCTGGATGGAAGGGGCCCCAGGGTGAGAGTGGGGGGGTGTCTCTGGGTGAGGGCCCCCAGGAACTCCCAAAGGGTTGAAAAAGTCCCCTTGCTCAGAGAGGTAAGTACAGGGAATAATCTGAATGGCTCCACTTTTTCGCAGGCTTGCTGGTCCGGCCGATCATGGGCAGCTTCTGGGCATAGCGCGAGATGTGGGTTGGGCCATGGTGCTGTGGGAAACAGGTCTGGAAGAGGCGCCCCTGGCACCGGTGCTCCACCTGGCGCCCCGCGATCACAAAACTGAAATGGGGCGCCCCCTGCAGGGAAAACCGGCACTTCTGGAAGACGTCCCGGGCGACGGGGCGGTGTCCCTGCTGGCGCAGGGTGCTGCGGGAACGGGCCAGGCTGGCTGAGCGGTGCAAGGCCGGCCGGCTGGCCGAAAAGTCCGGGCGGGGGCTCTCCTCGTCCCGCGGGCTGACGGTGGCACTGGCGGTCAGCTGGGGCATCTTGCGCACGGCGTCCCCGGTGCCGAAGGCCGGCTGCTCCTTCTTGGTGTCAGTGGTCTTGGGAGGGCTGGCGGGCATCGGCCCTGCCGGGCACAGCCCCGAGCCGGTGCCGAAGCGGGTGGCCAGGCTGTCCCCGAAGAAGTAGTAGAGCTCCTGGTACATCTCGTGGAGCGGGACGGCCGGGGGGCTGGCGGGGATGCCCACCCCGGCCTGGGGGCCCCCACTGCCCAGCTGCAGCAGGTGGCTGGCGATGCCGAAGCCGAACTCCACCTGAGCGTCCTGGAGGGGGCTGAGCCAAGGCACACCGTCCCGCGGGCGCCCCTGGGGCCCCCCGCCCTCGGCCTGGATGGGCACCGAGAGGGACTGGGCCTTCATCTTGAGAAGCCGCTCGACGGCCACCTGCGGGGAGATAATTTAAACACCCTAATTGCCCCGCACCTCCAACCCCTAGTTCTCAGGGCACCCGGTTTATGCCCCGTTCTGCTGAAATTGGATTTGGGCCGGTCAGAATTCAAGGCAGTCCCTTCATTCTTTAGTCTACACCAGTGGTTCCCAAACTTGGCAACTTTAAGACTTGTGGACTTCAACTCCCAGAATTCTCCAGCCAGCAGAGCGAATGCTGGCTGGGGAATTCTGGGAGTTGAAGTCCGGACATCTTCAAGTTGCCAAGGTTGAGAAACACTGTCCTAGACACTGTTCAATGTTACGGCAGCATGGAAAAACTGACGTGACCGTTTTTCACACTCATGACCCATCCCCGTGGTCACAGGGTCAACATTCAGGCGCTTGGTTCGTGTTTATGACGGTTGCAGCGTCTGGAGATCACGTGACGACCACTTGTGACCTTCCCAGGCGGCTCCCGGCAAGGAAAATCAATGGGGGAGTCAACAGGATGCAATTAGTGACCACAGCAAAAAAACGGTTGTAAAACCAGGCGCGTCTCCCGTATTCATTGAATCCCTAAGCAACGGCAATTGTGGTCATACGTCGAGGACTGCCAGCAAATGCTACAGTTCTTTACAAAAGANGCCGGCCAATGTTGGCTGGCAACCACCCGGAGGAGGGCCTTCTCTGTGGCTGCTCCAGCCCTTTGCAACGATCTCCCCGTGGAGATTCAGACCCTCACCACCCTTCAGGCTTTCCGTAAAGCCCTCAAGACCTGCCTGTTCTAGCAGGCCTGGGGCTGTTGAGTCCCATCCCCTACTCGAATGGGTATGCGTGTTGAGACCTTTTAGACTGTTTTGTACTGTTTTTTTTTTGTGGTTTTCCTTTTGTATTGTCCTCCCCCCCCCCCTGGTTTTGTTAGGTGCCCTGAGTCCCTCGGGAATAGGGCGGCATACAAGTCAAATAAAACCTTCAAACCTTCAAGATATTGGAACACTGCTATCATGTCTCTCCTAGTCCTTCTTTTCATTAAAGTAGAAATATCTAATTCCTGCAACCGTTTTTCATATGTTTTAGTCTCCAGTCCCCTAATTATCTTTGTTGCTCTTCTCTGCACTCTTTCTAGAGTCTCCACATTTTTTTCTACATTGTGGAGACCAAAACTGAATGCAGTATTCCGAGTGTGGCCTTACCAAGGCATTATAAAGTGGTATTAACACTTCACGTGATCTTGATTCTATCCCTCTGTTTATGTAGCCTGGAACTGTGTTGGCTTTTTTGGCAGCTGCTGCACACTGCTAGTTCATATTTAAATGGTTGTCCACTAGGGCTCCAAGATCCCTCTCACAGTTGCTACTATTGAGCAAGGTACCATTTATACTGTTCCTGTGCATTTCATTTTTGTTGCCTAAATGTAGAACCTTACACTTTTCACCATTGAATTTCATAATAATTTTATTAGATAGTGCCCAATGTTCAAGTTTGTCAAGATCCTTCTATATCTTAAGCCTATCTTCTGGAGTGTTGGTTATTTCTGCCAGTTTGCTGTCATCTGCAAATTTGATGAGTTCCCCATTTATTCTCTGATCCAAATCTTTGATGAAAATGTTGAAGAGTACTGGGCCTAAAACAGAGCCTTGGGGTACTCCNCTCTGTAAACCGCTTAGAGAGGGCTGAAAGCCCTATGAAGCGGTATATACGTCTAACTGCTATTGCTATTGCACGGTGCAAGAGCGTTAGGAACAGGATGCTGTGGCTGCGCCATCCATCCAGTTAAATCAGTCAGACAGAGAAAGCCAACGAAACAGCAGCAGAAAAAGCTGCATCAGGTTGAGCTCCTTTTCTTCCTTCTACTCCAAGCAAACATTGTCCAGTGAAAAAATGGCAAAAGATGGTTGCAGGGTGAGCTGCTGTTCTTCTTGTGGGCCCAAGCATTTATTGAACAAAATAATAAATTACAATAAATATTACATTGTCCTAATTAGCCCTCTGGAAACTGAGGGCTGTTGAGGGGTGGGGGGGTTGCCTTTAAAATAGCCTTTCAACCTCATCCTTTAATGTGATACTGACAAATGTTTTAAAGGCCTTCTTGGAGATTTGGTGGGGGTAGACAGAATCAAAGCTCCGGCTGAGTAGAGGACCACAGGGAAGTTTCTAATCTTTCGTTGGATGGCTGGCAAAACCACTGCTCCTGCCCGTGTGCCAGCCTTGCATTCTGACAGAACAAGTGTTGCATGAGATGTGAAGGATGGCTCCGGTCTGCTGTAAAACCCTGGAGCAGGTGTTCCTCATCCTCATTTGCAATGGAGCATGGCCCCTGGCTCAGTGAGCTGGAGCAAACGTGCTGGCAGGGCCCATCACATACCTGCGCGCTGAGATGCACTAATGATAATGGATGCAGGCCTATTAACCACCCCATTTGTAAATGGCACACAACACTGATTGTTTAGGGAATGAGTCAGCGGCTTTCCAGAAGGGAACAGAGGATGCTGGGAACCCATGATCCTCTGTGCATTCCTTCTGCTCTGCTGAGTGCACAACTCTGTTAGCCTTTATTTAATAGCACAAATGAATACATGATTTGGTACATGATTATACATTAAGAGAAGTCACTTTGGGCTGAGCAATTTTAACACCCTTTTCCTAACATCCTAGGCTCTCTGCCATTCCCATCATCATCATCATCATCATCATCATCATCATCATCATCATCATCATCATCATCATCATCATC